TATGTGGTAATTAAATAGCCTTAAACTATTAATGGTCAAAGATGGAATTACAAGAAAATTTGGAATGAATGAAAATAGAAACAAAACATATCAAAACTTATAGAATGCAGTAGGCAGAGTTTTTTTTTAAAGAAGTATTTTAAGATTTTAGTTAGTTTTAGAGAGAAGGGAAGGAAGGGAAAGAGAGAGAGAGAGAAGCATCGATGTGCCAGAGATACATTGATCAGTTGCCTCACGCAACCGCAACTCGGGACCTGGCCCACAACCCAGGCAGGTGTCCTGGCTAGGGATTGAACCAGTGACCCTTTGGTTCACAGGTCAGTGCTCAATCCACTGAGCCACACCAGCCAGGGCAGCAGGCAGAATTTAAAAGGAGATTTATATCTGTAAAAGCAGTTCTCAAAGCAAAACTGATAACTCTAAACACCTATATTAGAAAAAATGAGTAATTTCAAACCAATAATATAACTAAACTCTAAATAATTAGGAAACAGCAAACTGAACCTAAAGTAAGCAGAAGTAAATAAGATTAAAGTAGAGACAACATATAGAGTAGAAAAACAATAGAGATGGACAAATTCTTAGAAACATGCAAACTATAAAAACTGACTCAAGAAATAGAAAACCTGAGTCGACTTATTATAACAAAGAGACTGAATCAGTAATAAAATTTCCCTTAAAGAAAAACCCATGACCAGATGGCTTCACTGATGAATTCTACCAACCAAAAAGAATTATTAACCATTAACACAGTTCTCAAACTCATCCAAAAAATAGATGAGGGAAAACATTTTAACCATTCAATAAGGCCAGTATCACCCTGATACCAAAGGCAGACAAAGATATCACAAGGGAATCACAGAACAGTATCCTTTATAAGCAGAGATGTAAAAATCCTCTTCAAAATTCTAGCAAATCAAATCCAGCAGCACATGAAAAGGATAACATATCATGACCAAGTGAGATTTATGCCTGGTATGCAAGGCTGGTTCAACACATGATTATCAACATACTACTACTACTACTACTACTACTACTACTACTACTACTACTAGTAAATCAGATGATCATTTCAATAGATGCTGAAGTGTTTGACAAAAACCAGAATGCTTTCATGGCAAAAACACTCAATAAAACAAGGAAAAAAAGCAACTTCCTCAGCATGATAAAGATCATAAATAAAAATCCACAGCTAAAACTGTTCTCAATGGCAAGACTGAATGCTTTCCTCCTAAGAGCATAAGCAAGACAATGGTGCCTGCTTTGGCCACTTCTATTTGACACTGTACTAGAAGTTCTAGCCAGATCAATTAGCCAAGAAAAATAAAGGGTACACAAATTTAAAAAAGAAAAAGACTATCTCTATTCACAGATTACATGATCTCATTTGTAGAAAGTCAGTTTTGTTATCTATACACTAACAATGAACAATATGAAAAACTGAAGAAAACAATCACAATTAAAATAGCATCAAAAAGAAAAAATACTAAAAAGCATGGAATCCCAATAGGCCCCCAAATAGCCAAAACAATCTAGAAAAAGAATATGGTTGGAGGTCTTACACTTCATCATTTCAAATATTATTTCAAAAAATACAAGTAAAGCAAAACAGTATGATACTGGTGTCGAGACAGACATATAGACCAGAAATAAACCCTTACATACATAGTCAAATGATTTTTATGCCCAGACCATTCAACAGGGAAGACTTTCTTTTTTCAACAACTGGTGCTGGGGCAACTACATATCCACACACAAACGAATGAAGTTAAAGCCTTACTTTACATAGTATATGAAAAATACATCCTGTGTTCAGAGATTGGAACTTACTATTATTAAGATGGCAATAAATCCCAAAGCAAATACAGACTCAATGCAATTAATATCAAAATTCCAACGACCTTTACAGCAGAAATGGAGAAGCTGACCATAACAGTCACATGGAGATATAAGGGACAGAACAGCCAAAAAAGTGCTGAAAAGAACGAAGGTAGAAGAATCACCTTCTCAGTTTTAAAACTTACTACAAAGCTACGGTAATCAAAATATTGCAGTAATGGCATGCAAATAGGAATGTAGATAAAAGGAATAGAGCTGCAAGCCTATAAATAAACTCTCAATTTTATGGTCAGTTAGGTTTAGACAATGGAGCCAAGAGTACTCAAGGGAGAAAGTACTCTACAATATCTGGTGCTGGGATAATTGAATATGAATATCCTTGTGGAAAAGAATGAAGTTTTGACCCTTCATACTATAGACAAAAATTAACATATGTCAACGATGCAAATAAAAGTCCTAAAAGTATAAAAATTTAAAAACAAAATATAGGGACAAATCTTAATGTCTTTGGATCTGGCAATGGTTTCTTGGATGACACAAAAAGCACAAGCAACAAAAAATACGTGCACTGGGCTCATCATCAAAGGACAGGAACAGTGAGCAAAAAGACAACCCAGAGAATGGGAGCAAATATTCGCAAACTATCCATCTGATAACGGTCTACAATCCAGACCATATAAGGAAATCTTATACCTCAAAAACAAAACAAAAATTAAAACAATTAAAGACTAGGTATACAAAAGGCCAATAAGCATATGAAAAGATGCTTGGTGTCATTAGTTATAAGGGGAAGGGAAAGGGAAAGGCAAATCAAAATGACAATGAGCATGAGATACCACCTCACTCACACTAGGATGACCCCCCAAAAATAAGGAAAAAGTTGGTGAATGTGGTGACACTGAAACCATAAGACACTGCTGACTGAATATAAAATAGTATAGTCACTGTGGGAAAGTTTGACAGTTCCTTAATGAGCTAAACAGATAATTACCATATGACTCAGTATTTCCACTCCTTGGTATATTCTCAAAAGAACTGTTTACGGTGTTCAAAGGAAAACTTGTACACTTCATGTCAGCTCTATTCCCAACAGCCAAAAGATGGAAACAACCCAAATGTCCATGAATGGATGAATGGCTAAATAAAACATAGTATATAGTGCATACGTGCAATAAAGTACTGATAAATGCTAAGGCATGGATGAACCCCCAAAGCATTAAGCTAAAGTAAAAGAAGCCTGACGCAAAGCCCACATATGGTATGATTCCATTTATATGAAGTAACCAGAAGCAGCAAGCTCGCAGAAACAAGAAAGTTAGGCAAGTGGATTTCAGGGGCTGTTGGGAAGAGGGAATAGAGACTGCTCAGTGGGCGTGAGGTTTCCACTGGGGTGGTGAAAAGTTGTTGAACCACATAGTGGTGATGGTTGTAAAACACTGAACGTACTCGGTGCCACTAAAATGTACACTTTAAAATGGTTAAAATGATAAACTTTGTTATGTGTATGTATTTTACTACATATATAAAAATGCCTCTACCTGGATCCTTTCCCCTTATCTCCTCTATGGAACAAAAAACCTTAATCAGTGCTATCCCCAATTCTTTCTTATTTATAATAAGGTCATACTGTACTATTTATATATGTAATCACTGCCACTGAATACCTGTCAAATCTCAATTTTTACCATAAAAAGTATTTATGGTAAACTGTCTGAACGTCTTGTGCCTTCTTTCTTGTAGACTACTGGTCTCTTAAATTATTTGATCATGGGTCCTACTGATAAAATATCTTTTTGAAGATTTTCTTTATTTATCTTTAAGGAGAGAAAAGGAAAGAGAAAGAGAGGAAGAGAAACATCAAAGCCTGGTTACCTTTCTCATGCCCCCTACTGAGGACCTGGCCTGCAACCCAGGCCATGTGCCCTGATTGGGAATTGAACCGGTGACCCTTTGGGTCACAGGCTGGTGCTCAATCCACTAACATACACCAGTCAGGGCATCAATTACCAAAGTAGATATTTACAGGGCGGGGCAAAAGTAGGTTTACAACTGTTCATATAAACATATAGTAATTAGTAAATAATAGTACAAGGATAAACTGTTTTGCATTAATCACAACTATAAACCTACCTTTGCCCCACCCTATATTTATAAATTACATATTACTACTGCACTTATATATTATAAACATATAAAATATAAATTTTAAATTAGAGAAAAATAAAGTTTTTCTTTCTATACTCCAAAGAACCATTTTACAAGTATCACTCTTTGTAAAGCACTTCTCCAGACACCCTAAATTTTATTCTTGGGTTAAAGCAGCTGTCTGCATTTGTTGACCCCTTGAGATGTGTCTCTCCTGAACTCCCTGGTAAAGTCACATTAGCCTTACAGGCACTGTTACTGCACATCACTGTGAGGATGCTGCTGAGGCTGTGACACCGGTGCCTTCTAGATGAGCACACAGATGAGTAAATTTCACTTAGGTTTTAATACCAGAAATACGTGATGCTTTTGAAATTTTGTTTTTATATTATAGATTCATGTGATTGATTACAAAATTCTAGGGACACTAACCAGCAGAAAAGAAAGCAAAATTAGTGGCTCACAAACACACCTACAAGGTGGATTTTATCTCTTCTCTAGCATCAACTTGTCTCCCATTACTCACAATTCTTTATTTTTTAAAATCATGTTGTAGCTCACTCCTCTCTGGCTTCCATTATTTTCTTTCATTCAAATTTTTCATATACGTTTAAAAAATCATATTGCATTATGTGTGTGTATATGTGCATGTGTTTAAAAGTAACTCAAAATTTCCTGAAAGACAGGGAAAGTATGAATAAACAGAAAACAAAAACAAACCCCTTCTCCCCGCCCCAGCAATATTGTTCAGAAATTTGAAGCTCCCCCATGCCAGGGATGTACTTTGCAGATTCTGGAGCAGTTAGCAGCCAAAGGGTAATTTGTAAATGGATATTGATGAAAAGAAAGACAACTCACAATAGCACTGTACTACACTTTCTCACTCTTTTCCAGTTGGTAAGAAATATAGTGAGGAAAGGGCAAATGGCTTTTTTTTTCCACCTGTATGCAGAGCTTAACCAAAAAGTCCATGAAAAAGGAAGTCACATTGCCAGATGCAATTTGTAGCCATGTACCTGGATGCGTTTCCTTCTGGTGTGTTCAGAAGTCACTTGGGGATAACTTGTACTCAGTGCTTTCTTCTTGTTCTTGCTCCGCTTCTCAATGTATCTCCTCTGATGGTCAGTGATGCTGCTGTATAATTTAATTCGCCTGGGTGACAAACAAACTCTTTCATGGCCAAAAGCCTGGATCAATCGGGCAGTGTCAATGGTGGAAGCAGAGCTGCTCCTCTCATGCAAAATCATTTCTTTATCTGTTTGGGTCAATATATCTGATTCCACAGGAGAGGTGGTGGTGGAAAGGATGTTGGTGGCAGTATCTGTGAGCAGCTCACTGTCCTCTGATGGTCTAGAATCTGAAGAAGTGCTATTTATATAATGAAAATCTGGCTGTTTTCTCAGAATATACTTATCAAATTTAACCTGTTCAATTTTAATCTGATTTGAACCTCCAGCTTGATGAGTAGAGAGCACCTTGCTTTTTTTAAGATCTCCTATGTTTTTATAGCATTTCTCCAAGCTTTTATACCGCTTCTTTTTCTGAAGCTTGTTTTTCTGTTGTTGCTGTCTACCCCTCCACTCTTTAGCATCTTGTTGCTCTCTGCTGTCATCCTGTGTACTGTCTAAGGGCTGAAGAGAATGTGTGATGGGATGCTGAAGCAATTTAGCCAAACGGTCAAGTCGCTCCACTAAGGATACTTCTTTCCTATCACTGAACCCTGGAGGTTTCTGCTGCTTCTGTCGCTCCTGATACTTGTTCCACAGTTCATTCAAACTTGTAATGTGCTCAGCTGTGGGCTCTGGGGTGACTGGAAGATCCTTTTTTTGATCACTAATCTGTTTGTCACACTTTGCATAATCGCTAGCCTGACTTTTAGTAGGATGCATCACTTCTTTGTTTTCCAAATTTACATTGATACTGACACTCTCTATTCTGGTTTTTGTCTTTGTCTTTTCCTCATTTTGAGATGAGGGAGGTAGACAAGTATGTTGTTTGTCTGGATGATGCTGAAAGAAATCTTTCCAAGAATGCCTCATGAAAACACTTCTCCCTAAAGATTCGTGGCAAAAGTCTTGATCACTTGGCAGGTGCACTGGATGATGAAAGTAAAACTTGGCTGACCTGAATACAGAATGGGTAGTATTTTCAAATTCTGAATGACATCTGGACTCTGAAAAGGAGAAAAAAAAAATTTAAAGACTTTGAAAATATTTTAATTCCCTTTAGAAATAGTATTCACAGTTATAGAAAAAAGGAAACAACGGTTTATATAAAGTTTCAGAAAACTCACTGCCTGAATAAAGAATTTATGCCTAGGGACCAGATTGGCATGGTAAGCATTTCAGAGACTCAGGGTCAGAAGACCGGGATTCTGGGTGGGACTCTGCCACAGATGGGCTGTATGACCTCTAGAAAGGCATTTTAGAGTCCTCTGGACTACGCAGCAGCTGCTTTGTACTAACTGCTTGCTGTACAACGTGGGTATTACTATATGTGCTCTGTATCTTCTTCTTCCCCTTTTCATTCACTGTGTTGATAAGACTGAGCCACAGGTATTGTTACTCCTTTCAGTGAAGAAACCTGAGAATTCATTTTAATCATCAGTAATTAATATGTGGGATAAAAAAAGAAACGCTCTACATGTTTTAGAGCCTTTTAAAATTCCTTTCTGTGAACCATCCTTCTATTTTTTCCCCTCCAATTTTGTTTATTGTGGTAAAATATACCTAACACAAAATTTACCATCCTCTCAATTCCCTGTGGCTTTTAGAGCCATCTTTATAATGTTAACTACTCTCAAATATACATCTTAAGATATGACTTTTCCCTAGAGCTCCAGATTCATATTCAACTACATACTTAATACACCCTCTATGATCTCACAGCCATCTCAAATTTCAAAGTCCCCAACTGAACTCCCTTCTAGCCTCTAAACTAGTACCTCTCTCAATCTTTATCTCTGCAAATGGCCCATCACTCAAACCTGAAATGACATCTGGAAGTTATTCTTGAGACTTTCTATTCTTGCCATTAATCTTAACCAAATAATCATAAATCTGTCCACTTCTCTCCATTTCCTCCCACAACACTGCATGTCTCTAATAGATCTCCTGACCATTGCTGTCTTCTTCTAATGTATTCTTCAAAGAGTAGACAGAGTAATCTTTTAAAAACGTAAATTAACATGTCGTTTTCTAGTAAGCAAGTCTCAATGACTTTCGCTTACAATTAGAACCAAATCCAAACTCCTTAGCAAGGCATACAGGTATTTTATAACTTTTCTACCTTACCATGTATCATTTTACTTTTTGATAATCATTGGCCTTTCCTGCCTACTTCATCACGTATCACAGCCAAGTGGGAAAGCACTGAGCAAGTGAGTATAAACATTCAGTTTGTGTGGTTTACACAATGTGTGAGTAGAGGGAATAGAGGAAAACAAGATAGGAAACGTTTGGGACCAATGAAGCAGAACAGAGCCTAGAAACATATCCATGCACTTACAGTTAATTGAGCTTCGACAAGGGTGCCTAGAATACAGTGAGGAAAGAATAATCTTTTCAACAGATAGTATTGGAAAACTGGATATCCACATGCAAAAGAATGAAATGGACTCTTCCTTTGCACCACACACAAAAATTAACTCCAAATGGAATATAGACTTCAATATAAAACCTGAAACTGAAACTCCTCGAAATAAATAAAGGGAAAAAGCTTCATGACATTGGTTTTGGGGATGATTTCATGAACATGATACTAAAGCATAGGTGACAAACAAACAAACAAACAAACAAACAAACAAACAGCAAGCCCACAAAACCTATTCCCCGCAGGTGGGACTGTATATAAGTAAAAAACTTCTAGAGAGCAAAGGAAACAATCGACAAAGTTAAAACGCAACCTATGGACTGAGAAAATATTTACATACCATGTATCTATAATAAAGTGTTAATCTCCACAATATATACGTTACTTCTACAACAACAGTAAAATAATTATTAATCTGATTTAAAAATAAGCAAAGGACTTGAATACACACTTCTCCAAGAAAGACATACAAATGGCCAACAGGCAGATAAAAAATGATCAACATCACTCATCTTCAGGAAAATACAAATCAAAACCTCAATGAGGTATCCTCTCACACCAGTCTGAATGGCTACTATAAAACAAAATAAGAAGTTCTGGCCAAGATAAAGGCGTATGTAGAAACCCTTTGCCTCCTTGCACAACCAAAAGGAGGATAACAACCAATCTGAAATCAATAAGCAACCAGAAGCACCAGAAAATCAAACTGCATGGAACTCCAATAGTCAAGGAATTAAAAAAAAACTCAACCAGAACAATCAGATGGGTAAGGTGGCGGACCTGGTGGGCCAAGACAGCACAGAAAAACCGTGCTGAGGCAGCAGAGCATGCAGGTGGGGCAGGCTGAGGGAGGCGGCAGGCTTCTAGTGGGGCTGGCTGAAGGTGAAGCTGACACCCAGAGTTGACTGTTGACTACGTGGTTGCCACAGTGGGAGAAAACTCCGTTTCAAACAAGAGTTGAAAAGTGGGCTGGAGGCCAGCAGGCGAGCCGCACTGTTCCCTCTCTGGCCCCTCCACCACAAGCAGCACTGCAGCACAGTAAGGAGGGTTGCCCTGCCTGGGCGAATACCTAAGGCCCCACCCCCTGACCAACTCTTCAGTTGCACCAAGACAAAGAAATAGGGCCAAAATGAGAGAACACAGCAAATCTTCAAAAAGAGAGCTAAGCAATGAGAAGATAGACAGCCTATCTGATGAAGAATTTAAAGCCCTGGTAATCAAAAATGCCCACAGAACTCATTGAGCTTGGTCGAAAAATGAAAGATACCCAAAATGAAATGAAGCAAAATATTCAGGGAACCAATAGTGACAGGAAGGACACCAAGACTCAAAGCAATGATTTGGAACAGAAGGAAGAAATAAACATCCAACTGGATCAGAAGGAAGAAACAATAATCCCCCCAAATAAAGAGAGGCTGAGGATTCTCTGGGACAACCTGAAATGTTCCAATATCCGGATTATAGGGGTGCCAGAAGGAGAAGAAGAGCAACGAGAAACTGAAAACTTATTTAAACAAATAATGAAGGAAAACTTCCCCAATCTAGCAAAGGAAATAGACTTCTAGGAAGTCAGGAAGCCCAGAGAGTCCCAAAGAAGTTGGACCCAAAGAGGAACACACCAAGGCACGTCATCATTAAGTTACCCAAGATTAAAGACAAAGAGAAAATCCTAAAAGCAGCAAGAGATAAGGAGACAGTTACTTACAATGGAATTCCCATAAGGCTATCAGCTGATTTCTCAAAAGAAATCTTGCAGGTAAGAAGGGTCTGGAAAGAAGTATTCCAAGTCATGAAAGGCAAGGACCTACATCCATGATTGCCCTATCCAGCAAAGCTGTCATTTAGAATGGAAGGGCAGAGAAAATGCTTCCAAGATAAGGTCAAATTAAAGGAGTTCATCATCACCAAATGATTATTATATGAAATGTTAAAGGTACTTACCTAAGAAAAAGAAGATAAAAAATATGGAGAGTAAAATGACAACTAACTCACAACTATCAACAAAGGAACCTAAAAGAAAAGAAAAACAATGAAAACAAAAACTAAGCAAACCACCAGAACAGGAAGAGAATCAGAGAAATGGACATCACATGGAAGGTTATCAGTGGGGAGGGGAAGGGAGGAATGAAGGGAAAATGTTTCAGGGAAGAAGTGTAATTGGTAGGCATTAAATAGATGGGGAGAGGTAAAAAAATGGTATAGGAAACAGAGAACTCAGAACTTATATGTGTAACCCATAGCCCTGAAGTAAGGGCAGGGGAAAGCTGGAGGGTTGGGGGGTAGAGGATGATTAAAGGGGGAAAAATTGGGAAAATTGTAATAGCATCATCAATAAAATATACTTAAAAAAATAAAACCAAACAAAAAAAGTGTTAGTGATAATAGAAATACCATAAATGATCTAGTGATCCTACTTATGGGTATTTATCTAAAATAATTGAAATCAGGAACTCTGAGAGATATTAGTACCCCTGTGTTCACTGTTATACTATTCAGTGAACATATAATAGCCAAGATGTGAAAACAACCTAAATATCCATTGAAAGCTGAATGAATAAACAAAATGTGGCATATACATAAAAAGAAGAAAATTCTGTAATATATGACATATGAATGAATCTTTAGGACATTATGTTAAATGAAATAAACAGTCACAGATCCAATATTGGGTCGTTGCACTTACATAATATTTATTTATATACTGTACCTGCAGACCCTAGTGAAGGCATGTGCCCAGATCCTACTGCTCTGTCTTCACCATGTCTTGACTTCCTGTGTACCTCCTCTAAGACCTGTGAGTAATAAACTTCTCAACTTCAATTTCCCTTCTGATCTTTTATCGAACCACCAGACACTCCAGGACTCAACAAATGTTAAAAACAAAGCCACAACAGTTTGGTACTGCCAAATTGCCCTAACCCTCAAAATATGTTGTGACAAATTTGCATTTCTAACAACAGTATTGTCAAAGTGTATGGATGTTTCCCCATACACTCAATACTGAGGATAATCAAATCTTTTCATCTGTTACTCTAGTAGGCTTTTAAAGAAATCTATAGTTTTAGTATATCCCTCTGATTATTAAAAAGGTTAAGTATTGTTTCATATCTTTGCTATTTGTGTTTCTTTTATAATAAACTTCGTGTTCACATTCTATATCCTTCTACTAGATTTTCTTCAGTTTTTAAGGAGCTCTTTGCATATAAGGAAATTAGCCCTCTTTTCTCAGGTTTATAAATTTAAAATTGTCTTGCCACTTTCTATTTTAAGTTGACTTTGCATTTGGTTATTTTCCACTAGGCAGAAAGTTAAATTTTAATACATAGCCAAATTTATCAAATCTTTGCCATTATATCTTCTAGATTTTGTCACCTCACTTTATAAACAAAGTAATAACCCTGCCTTCATCTAGAACTTTTGTGATCTCTTTTTCAGTTAGATCTTAAAGATACAAAAAATGGTAACGGGAGTAAGACAGGGTTACAACTTAAATCTGTACCCCAATTCCAAATACCTAGCTTAAGTATCTCAGCAGAATGTATTGAATAATCCAACTTTTCCAAACTCATCTGAAATGGCTCC